ACAGCAGTCTCAGGGCAGTAGCAGTGGGCGGAGCAAAAGTTATCTTACTAAGCATAGCGCCACGTAGTGTTTTGGATCACTTCAAAGTTTTAATCTACGTTGATGTCAAGTCAGCATTTTATTATAACGATTTAATCAGATGATAGATAGATGAGGTAGATAGACAAAGCTTGAGGATTTGAACATTTGATTTATTAATTTTTTTTATAATTATTTTTCCATTATACACATTATCATACATAAGTAGCAAAAGATAACAAAAATAAAATAAAACTGAAGAAAATAAAACAAACAAATGTTAAAGCAAAGCAGGCACACATTTAACAAGAATTATCAAAATTGACAAAAGAAAACTAAAATAAATCACAACTCGAGAAACATGCAATTTATTTTGAGGCCCCTTTTGTCCATGCACTCATCGAGAAAAATGTCCGTATTATCCATAAATTGGAATTGGAAAACAAAAGATCATGAGTTTTAGTCAGAATGTAGCAAGCATTATCAAGTTTTGATTGTTTTTTTCTCAAGTGCCCCTATTTGAAATATAAAAAAACATACCCTGCTGCAGATTTCAATCTCCTGCTCTTCCAGAACTTGCACGCAGTAAGGAAATGTTTCCTGCGAAAAAAATTATGGTAATTTGTAGTCTGCTGGACAGAGAAAAACGTAAGCGAGAAAAAGATACATTTCAACAGCAAACATTTTCCAAGAGAATGAGGCACCACCATTTTAGTATTAGAGGAAAATCAAACCGGCAAATAAGGAAAAGCAAATATTAATAAATCATCAAATTGAATTAAGTCCCAATTATCTTTTTAAACAACAACTTACAGTTGTGAAATCAAAAGGCATCTCAAATACCATGTACAGAGCATACTGAAAAAACAATTTAATACAGAGGTCAAGGAAAGCACTTTTGTTTATCCATTCTAATGAAAACGAAGTTATATACAGTATATATATATATATATATATATTAGGGCTATCAGTCGATTAAAATGTTTAATCTAATTAATTACATTATGTGTCGATTAATTAATATAATTAATCGCAAACTATATTTGGCTGTGAAAATACCTCCAAAAGAAAGAAATATTTTATTTGATTCAACAAAATTTATTACACGTTTAGACTACAACGGCCTAACAAACGATTCAACATAGAAGATAATTTGAGAAACATCTCAGTTTATTTCATTCATGCAATGGAAGTCATTGGTAGCCAAAACAGCTTTGTTACCAACGGTCTTCAAAATACCTTCATTTATGTTCCACAAAAGAAAGTAAGTCATTCAGGTTTGAGTAAATGATGACATAATTTTATTTTTGGGGGTGAACTATCCCCATAAAGTGTTTTTTTTCCCCTTTTTTTAAATTAAATAATACTCTAAATAAGAAACTAAAACTGCCAGCAGGTGGCGGTAAATGTCCTTAGGAGTCATTCATTCGATTCGTTCAAACGGCTGATTCATTCAGGAATTCAGTAAACGGCTCACTTTATGAATGGGCTTTTGAATCATTGGTTCACCCGATTTGTTCAAAATGCAGATTCATTCAAAAAGCTAAACACTGCTGTGTTGCTCTGAGATGCACAACAATTCTGCTGTGGCTTTATAGGTATTTTTTGTTGGCAAAACAGAGCAAAAACAGAAATTGTGTTATATTGTATTATTAACTGTTGTGGAACATTCTAAAATAATAGAATTGTCACGTTGCACTGCTGAGCGGAGGAGCAAGGAATGGAGAGAGACGAGGAGTACATCAATCCAAATGGGTTTAATTAACACGGAACACTCACACTATACATGTAGACATGAACAATACCGGACGCTGAACTAAAGACAAGGAACACTATTTAAACACATGACAAGACGAGGGGATGACGAGACACACCTGGGATCAATGAAAACAAACTGGGAACACCTGGGATTAAATCAACATAATCAGGACAGTAACAGGAAACTAACCAAATATGGGCATTAACACTGGGACACAGAGAGCACATGGGGAACACAACACAAGCCTGACAAGAATATCATTCAGTTACTCCTGGAATAAGAATATGGCAACACATCATTTGTATTAGTAGCTTTGTTTTATGAAAGCCTTATAAATCTCACCTTGTTTTTGATCAGCTACCTCATCTATCTATCATCTGATTAATGATGGTAAATTTTTGTTTCTATAAACTTAAATTGGTCATATTCTTGTTACGCAGCTGAAATCCAAGTAAAAAAATGCAGACCCTGTTGTATTTTCTTGTAATTTATTAAAAGAAGGTACACCGCCATCTTGTGCCGACTAAACTGACTTGAACGCACCTGATGTCGTAATTACGACTTGTCAACTCATAAGTACGAACGTCCCAGGAGGACTTGAATGCAGCATTAGTAAGATAACTTTTGCTCCGCCCACTTCCGGCTTGATGCTGCAGGCCTGGCGCTGCTGTCCTGAGACTGCTGTGACATAAGGGTTCTGCAGCTGGGGATTATTGAGAATTAACTGTTTGTTATTTATTTAATGAAGTATGAGTGACCCCTGCCGGCGTTGTGTTGCATCTTTCATCTTTAATTTTGAGACCCCGCCCTTCCCCAGTCTAATAAACGCTTCTCATGCGGAAATGTGTTGATGTGTGTGCGCGTCTGTGTGGAAGCCTACAGTTTCCGAAGTGAGGAAGGAATATTACTGTATTTATTAGATTTCTGTTTCAGGTATGATTATGTATGTCCATCAGTTTACGCTGTAATGACGCTTACAAACTCGCGCTGTGCCGCGAAGGTTTGTTTTAAAACTAAAAGGCGCAAAACAGATGTTCTATTATGTAAGCAATAAGGTACGAGAGGCTGTGCTGAATCGTGAATAAATCACGGCTGAAGGGCCTTCAACCGTGATTTATTCACGATACAGCATGGTCTCGAGTACCTTCTTGCATTTATAAAATGTTTACCACACAATAAAAAATATTAAGACCAAAATGTATGTATTGAAATTTTACTTTTTTTTTAAGCAAGTTCATTAAATGCTGTCCTTCCGCTAAAAAATAGTTCCTGATAGCAACAGTAAACGGCAAGAGAATGTTCCAAACATGCCTCATCTAATGGAGCTTAAATAAAAACAGACAATAGGAGCTCTTATCATCCGCTGTGTCATTTATTTTTTTAACACCATATATGATATTTTCTCAGACACATACATCTGCTTATCTCTCAGCATGAGAAAACATAAATCGTTTTTTTTTGTTTGTTTTAAAAAAAAAAAACAAAGTGCTTATTCTTTAACAAAATATCAGTCTTCATCTTTATGGCAGAAGATACAATACTGTACAATACAATCTTGAAGATACAGTACAATCTTCATATTTACAGTAACAGATTGTCACCTTAAAAATGGTGCTTGTGAGCCTTAGCTACAGCAAATGATATTCAATTCAATTCAATTCAAGTTTATTTGTACAGCGCTTTTCACGATACAAATCGAAGAAAAGTCATCAGGGCAGTTATTTGAGATTTGACTTACTGGTCATATGGTGCGTAGCGTCCTGGGTGCACCGGGCCTGTGCAGAGAAGCACACCGAGTAGAGGTGGTGGGAGAGTTAGCAGCGGGCTGTATACTTACCTAAAGACCCTCGTATGTTTCGTTCAATTGAAATTAGTGCCAGCTGCTGACAGCCTCTCTTGGTTCATTGTTGACCTGAGGTATGTTTGTATCAGCTTTACTAGTTTTATTAGTTGACAACTAATTATATTAACTCAACTAATTAAATGTAGAAGAGCTAAATAAATAAAGTCAACATAAGTAAATGTAATGATATTTATTTATACTGATTTGTGGGCTCCACACTGGCAGCAAGACACAGTACCCAGGGATGCAAACTAATCATGGGTGACAAAGATGTC